GGGTACGGGACGGTCCGTTTCACCGTATACCGGACGAGATATGAGAGATAGTATTTTGGCACTCATACCGGACGGAGTATGGAGACGGTCGGTTAATTGAAAATGTTGAATAAAGGTTCACGCATAGTGGGGATATCCCTATGAACCTCCATGGATACCAGTAGACAAATAAAAAGGAAAAATTGTTATTCTGTTTAATTGTACATGAGATTATGATATTGTTTGTGTTATTGCCTCTATACGTCAGTTTTGTAAATTTCACTACGGTAAGTGTACAATAAATGATTTTACTTATGATAAATAAATTTACTTAAAATAAGAGGTTCATTAGTTGTTTTCATGATTTTTACCAACCTTCATTTCTATATCGGTGAGTAGCGTAACATTCTTGCTGGACTATTATAACTCACTCTTTCATTAATTATTTCAGATCAAGATGACCAAGATCTAGATCCTGAACCACAAGAAGGTTGCGAGTAAAATATTCAATTTGTTTACTTTTCATTTATTTTTTGATTATTAGTTGTTCTTTTAAAATTGTCATTCTCGTAAACCTATTGGGTATTCTGAATTATTGTGTAAGGAATGTAAACCCTAACGCTATTATTTCGCTTCCGCACTTAATTTATAATTTACTAAGAATGTAAACCCTAACACTATTATTTCGCTTCCGCACTTAATTTATAATTTACTTCCTTTCAAGTTCCGGGTCATTACAGTTGGTATCAGAACCACATTTCTCGAAACCATTCCTTACACAAAAATCCTAGAAAACATCAAATAATGAATTATCACTCAATTATTACTTATGAAATGCAGGTACAGATAGATGAGGAGAGAAAGACCCCCATTAAACCGAGCAGCCCGGGAGGGTTCACTTTGAGAGGATGTTAACCGATTATTTGAAATGCTGAAAAGACTCAACGCTGCCCAGCAGGCCTGGGAGGAAAAAAGAGAGCTACCTGACCCTCTTTCGCTACCACAGGTTAAGCCACCCCTGCAGCGGGAGAATCCTAAGCCACCTCGGTACGACCCTGCTCTTTCACAGTACCATCCGGCACCACCATAATTTCATCTGGTGCCCCAACTATAGTACCATCCGGAGCCACCATAGTATAGCCCAGTGTCCCAACCGCGTCACCCGGCACTATCACAGTACAATCCGACGCCTCCACCGTATCATCCAGTACCACCACAGGGCCATCTAGTCCATCCCCAGCACAATCCAGTCCCTTTCCCACGGGACCCAGTTCCTCCCATGATGGACCCAAACTACATTGAGAGATATAAAACACTAAACCCATCTACTTTTGCAGGGAGATCTTCATTTGAAGAGATCGAGTACTGATTAGCTGAGACAGAGACGACCTTCATGACTCTTGGGGTGATTCCTGAATAGAGAGTTATATTTATCACCTTCATGACTCTTGGGGTGATTCATGAACAGAGAGTTATACTTGCCACCTACATGCTGGTGGGAGAGGCAGGCCGCTGGTGACAACTCAAGCAGACCACCCTGCACGTTTCAGTCACTTGGGAACAATTCTTGATGGCCTTTAATGCAGAGTACCTACCAGAACATTTCCGACATCTGAAGAATAGAATTTGCACACCTGATCCAGGGTGACATGACTGTATCAGAATATGTCTGAAAGTTCCTAAAGTTTGGCCGATATTCCCCTAAGAGTATGATGGATGAAGACAGAAAGGCAAGAAGGTTCGAGTGGGGCTTCCATCCTGATATCAGACAGCAGCTGTATGTATTCGAGCTTAGTACTTACTAGGCTGTTCTGGCCAAAACACAACTAGTAGAGAGGAACCTTCACATTTTTCCTCCAGCAGTAGAGAACCTCAGGCCTCCGGTTTCACACCGTAGACCAGCACCTACTGCATCTGTTCAGCAGAACAAGAGGACTAGACCAATGACTCAGGCTCTTCATCAGATTCCAACAACAGGACGCGGCAAGACTTGCCAACACTGTGATAAGAGTAATGAGGACCAACCCTATTATCGCTTCAACAATACCTGCTGCATATGTAGGAGTGTCCTAGCATTACACGAGGGAGTGTCCGAGGAATCAGAACTAGACCAGACCTCCAATCCAGAACATGGCTTACAACTTCACTCAGCAGGATGTAGAGGCCAACCCAGACGTGATACATGGTACGTACATTATTTGTAATCATCTTGCACATGTTTTGATTGATACTGGTGCCTCACATTCATTTATTTCACATACTTTTGCATCAAATTTAAATGTATTACTTGAAAGACTTGATTTTGTACTGTTTGTATCTACTCCTGGGAGTAGGACACTACTGGGGGAGATTATATACAGAGCCTGTGTCATAAATATAACAGATAAAAAATTGAGTGTGGACTTAATAAAGATTGACACGGGGGGACTTTAATGTAATCCTATGAATGAACTGCCTACTGGCGTATCACGTCACCGTAGATTATTTTTATAAGAAACTTGTATTCAACCCTTCTAATGAGAAGTCATTTAGAAATTAATAAAATTATTTTACATATGTTCCCTCATAGCAAATTTTCCTACTATCAAGTGCTTTAAGCCGACTGTTTTTTCTAACTAGGCAAATCTAAAAAAAAATTTGTATTCAAGAGATTCCGGTAGTCCGATACTTTCCAGATATGTTCCCGAATGAATTACCTGGATTGCCAGTGGACAGAGAAGTTGAATTCACCATAAACCTTCAGCAAGACACTTAGTCTATTTCGGTTGCCCCTTACCGCATGAGTCGTGTTGAGATGAAGGAGTTGAGAAAACAGATCAATGAATTGCAGGATAGTAGATTCATCCGACATAGTGTGTCCCTTTGGAGTGTCGAAGTCACATTCGCAAGAAAGGAGGATGGGACATTAAGGTTATGTATTGACTACAGAGGACTGAACATGGTCATGATCAATAACAAGTACTCATTCCTCAGGATTGATGACCTTTTTGATCAGTTGCAGGTGCCAAAGTCTTTTTCAAAATAGATTTGCATTCAGTTACCATCAGTAAGATCAAGATAGAGACATTCCAAACAGCTTTCGACCAGTACGGATACTATGAATTCTGTCATGCCATTTGGACTGACCACGCACAGCCATCTTCATAGATTGA